TATAAACACACCCACACCCACACCCACACCCACACCCACACCCACACCCACACCCTAGGAGTTTATTATTCCAATTTGATCCATTACTTTCTCAACTTATTCAACGGTTCAAATGTCGTCAATAACTTATGACAATAATCAAATTCCATTACAACAAGCTGCCACAGCACCACCACAACCACAAAGATATATGAATCAAGGTCGTCGTCGTGGTGGTGTTTTGGGGGGCAATAATTCTAATTTTGGGGGCAATAATTCTAACTTTGGGGCCAATAACAATAATTTTTATAATGGGGCCAATAATGATAATTTTTATAATGGGGCCGATAATAATTTTTATAATGGGAGCAATAATTTTAATATTAATCGTAGGAACAATCAAATAAATTATGGAGGCAATCGATATCGTAATTATCGAAATTATCCGAACAGGCGTATGCAAAATATAAATAGAAGATTTTATCCTCGAACTTTTAATCGTCGAAATAATTATCAGCCACAACAATATTATTATGGCTATGGTATTATTAATCAACCGGTAGTTCCACAAGGAAGTTTTTATCGAAGAATATCGAGAAAACCAGCAAGTCAAAATCGACCAAGAAGTCATTCCAATCAACGGCGAAGTCGATCAATGCAACAGCGCCAACGTGGTCCAAGGCAATTAAGATTAAATGATTTTATGCCACCACGATTACGCGATCCTTCACCAGATACTCGAAATCTTCCTTCAGATTTTAATTTGGCAACAGAGACAACTGCAAATATTCCACTTGATGCATTACCACAACGTGAAATTTTTAGAAATAATACTACACAACCATTTGTAGTTAATCAAAATGAACAAGAAAATCAACGACAACAAAATACAACGTCATCCTTTAGACGTCGTCAACGTCGAAATCGACAAAATAAATTTGTTCAAAATAATCGTTTTTCTCCACTTGTTGATATGCAAAGTATTGATCAAAATGAAATTGATTTAACTAATGAAGAATCAGCACAATATAATATAAATATTAAAAAGAATAAGAAATCAAAGAAAACTCGACTTTATCTTGAACCAAATAGAATGTTAAGATGGTTTGAAGATAAATTTAAAAATGATGTAAAAAATCCATTAAATAGTCGTGGTAATCAGACTTTTTTATTAGCAACAGCTTCAATTTATGATGAATGGGTTAGAAATAATTATGAATTACAAATTTGGCAAACATATTTAAAGATGGGCATAGAGCAAAAACATTGGGCTAAAGAAGTCGTTCAACGTACAAAGAAACGTGATAATATAATAAATACTCGTTTTGTACAAAAGAAAATTAATCGACTAACTGAAAATATTGTTCAAGCTACTGCCACCATCTCAGATTTACAAATTCAATTAACCACATATTGGGCACAAGTTAATGCTGAAAAATTAACTACAACAATAGCTGAAAATGTTGCAACTATTGTATGTGAAAAAATAAATAATAATAAAAAATCAACTACTGCTACTACAACAACTGCTGCAGCAGCAACAAGTCCTACAGCAACACCATCACCTACAATTACAACAACAAATACTCTTAAAAATCAAGTACGCGATCCTATAGAACGATTAGAAAAATATATATTAGAATACATTCGTACATATACACAACACGTGAAGAAAATGGCTGAAAATAAAGTTCAATTAGCTAAAGCTCAATTCGATGAATTTAAAGCTTTAGAAGAATTTGAACAAATAGCTACTCCATCTCAATGGAATATTCATTTAGCTTTAAAACCTAAAGTAAAACTTTGGTCGACTAAAAATAAAAATTATTTGGCAGTTCTTAAACGTGTTGAATATGATATGCCTCCAAAATTTATTGAAAAAGTGGATTTATCATTTAAAATTGATGAATCTATTATTAATCAAGATGAAGTGCAAGCGACATATAATCAAATGCGTCAAATTACGAAAGAATTTCGTACACAAGCAATGACATTATATGTACAATCGTTAGGTAGAGAAAATGAATTATTATCAAATGAAATTAAACGTGTTGTTGAAGGCTTTCCTCAAGAAAATGATGAGGGTTTTGATGCCGAACCTGGACATGCAGCATTTAAACAGTTTCACGATTTACGTGAAAAACGATTAAATTTAGAAGCTGAACAATCGATTTATTTTTTATCCGAAGAGCGAGTCGAGGGCGACACAAACAATCAAGAAGAAATTATTGCCCCGACTCTAGTATGATCATTAGGCAAGGAATTCTCGCTCCAAGTATAATTAATGAAGCACAAATACAATTAACCGAGGAAGAACATCAACTATTAAAATTAGGCCCTCGGTTTATTTATAATGACTCGAAAACGGCATCTCGACGACGTACAATTGAGTTGGCTACTCTTAAACGAAAAATTGAAGCTCGCTTCTTTGAAAAGAAAGTTAGCCCCGGTCGTCCAGTCGAACAATTTATCGCCGAATTAGATATTATGCTTCAGAAATTACATAATACCCCTGTTAATTATCAAAAATTAAAAACGATATTAGCACAAAATAATACTATTTATAATAATTTAATTTCTACTATACAATCAAGTCAATCTCAGAATATTAATTCTCGAATGAATATTAAAAAGAAGAAAAACTATGGGCGATTAATTAAACGTTTAAAACATAAGCTTCATTTAAAAAATATTGTTCTTCAAAAATCTGATAAGAAGAAAGTATTCCATTTAGGCAAACTTGAAAATTATTATAAAAAATCAAAAGAATATATGGAGAAAACAAAAGCCTACAAATGTTTAGGTACTGAAGATCCATTACCTGATTTAATTTGTCGTACTAATAAATATTTATTAGATTTACGATTAGCCAAGTGGATTACTCAGAAACAATATGAAAAATTATGTATTAATCCAAATGAAGTTGAACTTGCTCATTTATATTATTTACCTAAGGCACATAAGCCTGGTACTCCTCTTCGTCCAATTATATCTGGTCTGAAACATCCAACGGTCAGAATTTCAAAATTTCTTGATGAGTCACTTCGACCTTTATTTGATAAAATGGCTTTAAAGTTAACTGTAACTTCTGGCTTCGAATTAGTTAAACAGTTGCAAAATTGGTCCAAAGATAATATGCATCAAGAAACATTATTTTGTACTATTGATGTAGCAGATCTTTATACAATGGTGCCACAAATTGAAGGAATACTTTCATTAAAGAAAATGTTAGACCATTTAAAATTAAAACAAGTTGGTGGTCTTAAAATTGAAACTATTATTAGATTAAGTCGATTTGTCATGCAAAATAATTATTTTTCTTATAATGGCCAATACTATCATCAAATTCGTGGAGGAGCTATGGGTTCTCCTCTTACACTAACTGTTGCTAATTGTTATATGTTCTTTTATGAACAACAAATTATAAGACAAATTAACAACAGTGGCGGATTATATTTTAGATATATTGATGATATTTTTATAGCAATTAATTGGCCGGCTCGACATTTATTTAAACAAATCGATAGATGGAATCATTTTGATGAAAATATTAAATTATTTGAAAATATTGGTTCAACTGCTGATTTTCTTGATTTACATATGGAAAACCAAGATGATCAGTTATTTACTACAGTATATCAAAAGCCGTCTTATGAATCATATTACTTGCCGTTCAATAGTGTACATCCATTGCATATGAAGAAAAATATAGTCTTTACTATGTTTCTTCGTACTATTAGATACTGTTCAACTTTTCAAGCATATTTGAATGAACGTGAAAAACTACGAATGGCATTATTATTAAATAAATATCCAAATAAGATTATTGATGAACAATTTAAATATGTATTATTAAAATTTAATATTGGACAGCCATTGGATTCTAATAATTATAATTTAATTCGTCGAAAAATTATAGAGACACCAATAAAAGAAAAAGTACCAGTGGATTATGGAAAGACAATGTTTGTCCATTTTACCTTTTGTTCAAGTATGAAAACATTCCCAAAAAAATTCCATACCCTCTGGGATAAATATTTTGGCGAATCTCCTATCAATGAAGTTTTACCCGTTTTAGGTACACGTAATGTTAATAATTTACAAAGACGATTAGTCCATACTAGATCTACCGTATTTTCAGAATGATCCAACATAATTTTACCACTAGTTCAGAAATTCCATGTATTAATCTAAATAATGAAGAATTAGAAGAATTGTACACATACTAATGAATCGATAACAAGGTTTATTATTATGAACATGTACAAATTTTTAATTAAAATTTATTATTAACATCATTAGATTCATATTCAAATGTATTTAATAGGATTCAACATAATTTTACCACTAGTTCAAAAATTCCATGTATTAATCTTAATAATGAAGAATAAGAAGAAATGAAAGTAATCCCTTTAAAATTTCATATAGGTGAAATTAAATTTGATTACCCATGTTACATGCCTCTAAAAGTCAATACAAAGAATGACTGAAATAATGGTTCGTGTAACATTATCTAATATAACAACAACAGATAGAATATCAATTCATTCTATCAAAAAGAACGAAACAATATCTTCAAAGGCAAATAAGTGATATTGGTATACTTAATATCGAATGGCACCTACACACAGAAACAACAAAGAAGTAATATTATTATAATTAAATAAAAAATAAAAAAATAAAAAGTATACTAAGCCCCTATTCTTCTTTTT